TGAAATATATCAAAAACTTTAGGAGTCAGCTGTCCACGGTAGTCCTTAAGATATCAGCACAATAACACACTCAGCAAAATATCGTCTAATTATCTTTATTGATAAAATCACAGAAAATATTGAGATATTATTTTTTGTCAATATCGCAAACCCCTAGTACTGACAAAATGATTTGCAAAGGTCGCTTTGTCACACCCAGTGTAGACAGCCTCAAACTGTTGGTGTATTTCTGTCTTTTTTTTTTTTGGCTAGTAGAAGTTATGAATGGCCGGTAACTTAAAAATTGAGTAGCCAAATTGGCTGGTGAGTGAAAAAGTTAATTTCAATCCCTGGATGCAACAAATAAATACCTCAGTTTTTTAATTTTTTTACCACAGCTTTTGGTTTAGTTCTTTTTTTGCTATTTTGAACTTAAACCGCATAAACACATTTCATTACACCAAATACACAAAATAATGTTCTTTTTAGCAGCATCATATGACCCCTTTAAAAAAAGTAGTATTATTTTTTTTAGATTGGCCATTATTTAGTAGGGGTGTGACGAGATCTCGTGGCACAAGATCTCGCGAGAACGTGACTATATCCTCGCAAGACCTTTCAGATATATTTGCATTACACTGGCTCGTTCACCAATGGTGGCATGTAAGATATTTTGTGTTCACATCAGGCAAGTGGCTGCATGAATAGCGGGAAAATTACGCAGTTGTAGTCTTTATCCAGTCATAAAAACAGAAATCAGTTTAACGCGGAATGTCATGGAATTTGTCAAATGTTGAATGAATTAATCAAAAGTAGGTCATTACACTTAAATCAAATCACGATATGGACTAGCATCTGTAAATATTAAGCCACAAAATTGGATTTAAATATGAATCCTGCATGTTCTGCGTGTGTCTGTTAATGAATGACGCAGACGCGCGGTTTCATTTACTACACACACACTCGCGGTGATTTCAGCGTCTGCCGTCTCACTAAATGAGGACGTAAACACATGAACAACATCTCCAGAACTGCGTTTGATTTGAGTAAAACTAGTTTGATTTGAAGACATTGTGCCTATTGAACTATTTTTCAGTAGAATGTACATAGCCTACTACTACTACTAAAATTAAACAAACATTATTTTTTAAGGAATAATCACAAAACATTTCTTCAATGTTTTAATTTTAATAGTAAATCCCCTTTGTTTGCCAAAAAAATAGTTTGCTTAATCTTCAATAATTAAAAGATAAATGATAAATTAAATGAATGTTTTATGCCTTCATTTGATAACCAAAAAAATGTAAATAAAAAAAACCACACGGCTACTTTAAGAAAAACTAAATAAATAAATTAAGTTGTTTTATACATTCAAATAATTAGACATGATAAAACACAGAATTTGGTAACAATAAAAAAATATAAATAATATGGTGAGAAAAAATAAAACATTTCATAGGGCCCTAAACATGTATTTTTTGTTAAACTTTTAAAAAATTGATGTGAAAATGTATAAGTTTCATGATTTTAATTAATTAGACATGCTTTTTAATTAATACAATTTTATTTAACTATTAAAAAGGAGTCAAGAAAAATTAAAACGGAATTTAGAAACCCATTTAGGCCCTAACTATCCCTCAGCCTTGCCGCGCCCCTCAGTTTGGAACCACCGCTTTATTCTTTCAAATGGATACATTAATCGTGTTTATTATATATGTTTTTATTAAAGTGGAAATCAGTTTACTAAATAATGTAAACCTGACTGACTGCTTCACTTCCACTTTAAAAGGGATTATTTGTGTTTATTATTTATTTTTATTTATACTATTTATAATTTGTGTAATTACTTGCCTGTCAGTTGAGTTTGTGGCAAAACATTTAGCAGTGTTTACATGTTGTTTATTACTGCATACAATTTATTAAAATAGATGTTTAATTTCATGAAGTACGAGTTGATTTCAAAATGCACCTACATTTTTTGAATTTTGTGTTTTTCAGTTGAATAAAATACTATTTTTCCCTATATATTTCATCGAGGAATTCTTTAAAAAAAGTCAAATCTCGTCTCGTCCTCGTGAACCCAGTCTTGTGTCTCATCTCGTCTCGTTGGATAAGTGTCTCGTCACACCCCTACCAATCACAGACAAAAAAGTACCTACACAATGCCAGCAAGGATGCAAGCTTTTATGAAAGGCATAAGGCCATTGTTATGTGAATAAATACTATTTATTTGTTCGTTTCAGTTTGTTATTTGCCCAATAAATGACTAACTTTTTTAGGTTTAAACTATTTTTTGACAGATTCCTAAAATATGTGTTTTCTCTTTATGACAGGTGGTCTAATAAATTGTGAAGCACTGTATGATTTCATAGCATTCATTTGGCACGTTTGTTTGAAGGACATTGGGCAGAATGTGGTATAGTGTATTTTTTTGGTCAGTAAAATAAATGTAAAAAAAATTGGGCTTTTTATCCGATTAAATATTATTATACAGTGTATTGTTTACTGCATTGAGAGGTTTTTTACTTAAGAAAAACTGGCATATCACCTAATATATATCCAAATGAATCAAAATGAAAACCGAATCGAGCCAGCCCCAGTATGTGTGTGTCACTCACAATCTGCGCATGAGTTCAGACGGATACTGGTTCCGGGAGTCATGCGTGTCTGCGGGGTCACGACCTCTGGTCTCCATCATCAGCCGGTGCTCGATATAAACGTCCAAGGCATCCTTTGCCACAAGCTACAAAACGCACACACGAATATATCGATCAGCAGGCAATATTACTGATACACAGAATCTCAGCTGTGTGAGTGTTTATATCCTGTATGTACGCAAATTACGTTGCTCATTCTTATATCCACTTATATATCCAGCTATATATGAAGATCTGTGTGATAATGGTTTACATTTTTCAACAATCACAAAGCTGTGATTTGTTATGTAGCATATATCATTCTGTGAGTGAACGTGGATACAGCTGGATGTTATTTTTGTTTTGTTTTCTGACAGTGGTACACAGATCTATAATGTCTGCGGTCACCTCTCGCTCTCTGTACTCCGGCAGCAGCTCGTGAACCGCATCCGCGAACAGTCCGGCGTAACGCTTGCTGTTCTCACACACGCTCTCCACCAGCTCAGGGTCTTCCTCCGCCACATCATCCAGATCCAGCACCAGCGCCACCTGCTCGCGGTGCGCCAGGGACACCTGAAACACACACACAGGTGAGCGGGAGTCCGGCTCGAAGCTGCAGGAACGGAGCAGGCTGCAGATCTCACCAGCTGAGCGCCGTATTTGAACACCTTCTTCCCGGAGTCATCCTCACTGTAGAACTCCTGCAGGAAGCGCTTGCACTTCTCTGGAACACAGCCACAGCAGCAGAGCCGCGATCACACACAGATCTGACGACAGCACGGCTGTGTAAAGCCCCGTTCACACCGCAAGCGACTTTTTCACTGCTTGTTGCTTGTGGCTGGCAATTGAGGTCGCTAGTGGGCGTTCCCACTACTGGTTGCCTAGTTACCCCGTAACACTCCACTACAGCAGACGAGTCACGTGCTCTCCACTGACTTCACTCCTATTGGTTGTCGCTCGCGAAATTCGCTGCTTATTTGCATAAAGTTGAAGAATTCTGAACTTTTGTCGCTTGACTCGCCCACACTGAAGTAAAAAAATAAAACGGATTTCATAGGGCCCTAACTATCCCTCAGCCTTGCCGCGCCCCTCAGTTTGGAACCACCGCTTTATTCTTTCAAATGGATACATTAATCGTGTTTATTATATATTTGATTAAAGTGGAAATCAGTTTACTAAATAATGTGAACTTGACTGACTGCTTCACTTTCACTTTAAAGGTATATTTGTGTTGTTTATTATTTATTTTTATTTATACTATTTATAATTTTTGTGTAATTACTTGCCTGTCAGTTGAGTTTGTGGCAAAACATTTAGCAGTGTTTACATGTTGTTTATTACTGCATACAATTTATTAAAATAGATGTTTAATTTCATGAAGTACGAGTTGATTTCAAAATGCACCTACATTTTTTGAATTTTGTGTTTTTCAGTTGAATAAAATACTATTTTTCCCTATATATTTCATCGAGGAATTCTTTAAAAAAAGTCAAATCTCGTCTCGTCCTCGTGAACCCAGTCTTGTGTCTCATCTCGTCTCGTTGGATAAGTGTCTCGTCACACCCCTACCAATCACAGACAAAAAAGTACCTACACAATGCCAGCAAGGATGCAAGCTTTTATGAAAGGCATAAGGCCATTGTTATGTGAATAAATACTATTTATTTGTTCGTTTCAGTTTGTTATTTGCCCAATAAATGACTAACTTTTTTAGGTTTAAACTATTTTTTGACAGATTCCTAAAATATGTGTTTTCTCTTTATGACAGGTGGTCTAATAAATTGTGAAGCACTGTATGATTTCATAGCATTCATTTGGCACGTTTGTTTGAAGGACATTGGGCAGAATGTGGTATAGTGTATTTTTTTGGTCAGTAAAATAAATGTAAAAAAAATTGGGCTTTTTATCCGATTAAATATTATTATACAGTGTATTGTTTACTGCATTGAGAGGTTTTTTACTTAAGAAAAACTGGCATATCACCTAATATATATCCAAATGAATCAAAATGAAAACCGAATCGAGCCAGCCCCAGTATGTGTGTGTCACTCACAATCTGCGCATGAGTTCAGACGGATACTGGTTCCGGGAGTCATGCGTGTCTGCGGGGTCACTCTCCATCATCTCCATCATCAGCCGGTGCTCGATATAAACGTCCAAGGCATCCTTTGCCACAAGCTACAAACGAATATATCGAATATATCGATCAGCAGGCAATATTACTGATACACAGAATCTCAGCTGTGTGAGTGTTTATATCCTGTATGTACGCAAATTACGTTGCTCATTCTTATATCCACTTATATATCCAGCTATATATGAAGATCTGTGTGATAATGGTTTACATTTTTCAACAATCACAAAGCTGTGATTTGTTATGTAGCATATATCATTCTGTGAGTGAACGTGGATACAGCTGGATGTTATTTTTGTTTTGTTTTCTGACAGTGGTACACAGATCTATAATGTCTGCGGTCACCTCTCGCTCTCTGTACTCCGGCAGCAGCTCGTGAACCGCATCCGCGAACAGTCCGGCGTAACGCTTGCTGTTCTCACACACGCTCTCCACCAGCTCAGGGTCTTCCTCCGCCACATCATCCAGATCCAGCACCAGCGCCACCTGCTCGCGGTGCGCCAGGGACACCTGAAACACACACACAGGTGAGCGGGAGTCCGGCTCGAAGCTGCAGGAACGGAGCAGGCTGCAGATCTCACCAGCTGAGCGCCGTATTTGAACACCTTCTTCCCGGAGTCATCCTCACTGTAGAACTCCTGCAGGAAGCGCTTGCACTTCTCTGGAACACAGCCACAGCAGCAGAGCCGCGATCACACACAGATCTGACGACAGCACGGCTGTGTAAAGCCCCGTTCACACCGCAAGCGACTTTTTCACTGCTTGTTGCTTGTGGCTGGCAATTGAGGTCGCTAGTGGGCGTTCCCACTACTGGTTGCCTAGTTACCCCGTAACACTCCACTACAGCAGACGAGTCACGTGCTCTCCACTGACTTCACTCCTATTGGTTGTCGCTCGCGAAATTCGCTGCTTATTTGCATAAAGTTGAAGAATTCTGAACTTTTGTCGCTTGACTCGCCCACACTGAAGTCGCCAGCTCTCCGTTGAAAATGAGTGGGATTATGTCGCTGTGTCGCTGGCGGTGTGAACGGGGCTTCAATGCAGCAAGAGTTTCGCTCTCAGTCACGTGAGCGCGCGCGGAGGAAGCGTAAACAAACAAAACGCAGAAACAACAAAAAGCTGAAAACGTTCGCAGCAGATCACAATTAATAGCTCCTGCGACACTGTGCGTCCAGCGTTCACTAGCAGCTGTTCAGCAGAGAATAAACCTCAGAAGATAAACACAGTTAAACTATATGATCGACGCGTCAAACAGCCTCGTATCGAATCGGTGTCGCGTCGACTAACCTGATCGCGCGTCATCTCGCTGCACGGTTCGCGTTATAAATGACGCGCGTGTAACGCCACTCAATGGCGGCTGTTTTTGTAAACAAAGCAGCACATGGCTGTAGCCGCGCCGCTTCCGCGATCCCTCCTCGCTTCATCAACTAGTCCCGTCCGGACCGGTAACGCGACGCCTGACAACCGCTACGGAATAAACCGATCGGAATAAACAGAAACGCGTGATTCTTTTGTTGACGTTTTGTCTGAAAATGAGCACGTGCTCTCCGCGCGCCGCCGCTTTGTTCCGAAACTCCATCCGGGCACTTCAGCGCAAGCGCGCGCAGCTCCCGCGAGCAACAATAAAACTAATGTAAGAAACGCATCTAAAGTCACAGTAATAACGGAACAAACAGCACATATATCACACCGACTCCGAGTTCACACACCAAATATGATTCTTTTGCTTTGATCTAAGTTTCATTTGATGCGCATGGCCTCAGAAACACCCGCGAACCGCAGCTGAGAGTTCTTAAAACTAAAGTTCAGTGTGCGCTAGAAATTCACTTCCCAACTTACCCTTCTCCGCCATGTAATCCTTTGGTGCCATGTTTGTCGCGGAAGTGTGGAATAGTCACGTTTCTGAGGTAAATGTGTGAATATTTGACCTAGAAAGCGTTTTCCTGACTGAAGATGCAGCGCGGTCTGAAGAGCAGCTGCAAAAACTGGCGCGAGTCTGCTGCCGCTTTCCACCAATCAGAGCGAGTCTTCCAGTGCGCGAGGGCGGGGCTCTGCCTGTGGCGCGACAATCTTCCAAACGTGGTACGTCACGTGGGCAGATTAACCAATAACATCTGCCCTTTGAAACGGCGGCAAAACAATCCGGTTTATGACGTCTTGACAAAAGCGGCGACCAGCTTATAACTTCCGCCACGAGCGCGGAGCAGAACAGAACTTAATGCAACATATCTAATTAAAAGATAAAACAAACATCTGAAAGTGAGAAAAAAAAAAACCAGGACCCGATTATATGGGATCTAATCAAGTCAGATTCCCGCCTCGGATCTGACATTAATGCCACCGCCGCTCATTTCCACAATATATTTTGTGCATACTGTATTGTGTAATATATGGTATAGTATATTGTGCTCTATATTGTCTGCTGACAATTTATCAATGTGTGTTTAGCAACAAGGTGTTGGATTATGAAAAACACCTGCACTCTGGCTTTAAGTGTAAATGCAATTTTGCGCTAAATCTAAAATCTTCCAGGAAAAAAAAACTTATGAGAATGAGAAATAAATGTAAGTTATTTATTTAAACAAAGATCATAAACAAAACTGTTTCAACACTTCAACCAACATCATTTTTAACCATCATGAAAACAAACAGGTTATTTCTTGTGCTTTTCTCATTCAGATCAACATTGACTCAACTGAAGGTTTCACAGGATATTAAAAACAGCTGCAGTAACACAACATCCCATAATGCTCCACTGCTTCGGTGAAACACGAACGTGTCCTGGTCCTGGTTTCTCTCAAACAGATCCTCCAGGAAGCTGGCGGAGGAAGAGGAAGATGATGAAGAGGCTTTAACTCACCAAAGTGATGCCCAGCTCAGTCTTCATCATCGTAATCTTCAATTTCTGGCTCCTCCTCATCCTCTGAAGCATCTTCATGACCCAGTGATAGTCTGAACACACACACACACACACACACACACACAGTCTCGTGTGTTTTTAGCACCGCTCCTGCATGCGTTTCATTATGCCTGAGTTTGACCCTTCATTCTGATGCAGTGTTGCCTGTTACTATGATTTTTGAAAACATTGTTCTGCACACATGAATACCGTGAAACGGCAGAAGTGCAGATGAACACTCACGTGCTGAGATGAGACTGGATGCTCTGAGAGAACGGACTCTGCTGTCTGCTGCGAATCACACTGATTCAGTGTGTGTGTGTGTGTGTGAGAGTGAGTGTTTGTGTGTGAGTGAGTGTGTGTGCACTTGTTAAAATTACAAATGACTTGCTTCTTGCGTCAGACCAAGGCTGCATCTCATTGCTAGTTTTACTTGATCTTAGTGCTGCGTTCGACACTATAGATCATGACATACTCATAGATCGATTACAAAACTATACAGGTATTCAAGGGCAGGCTTTAAGATGGTTTAGAT